GCCGTCGCCATCTTGGCAGCGTGTCACCGCGCGTCACTCCCGGATAATCGAAAATGGTCAAAGAGGCGGGAGCTGGTTGTTGAAACCACGCCCACCTAGCTCGATGGTGGTGACTGCAGCAGCAATCCACCTGTCACTCAAGTGGCCACGCCCTTAATTATGCAGAACTTTAAGGCTTAATATAATTTAAACGGATGAGTTATAAAAAAATTCACCCCCCTCACAGTTGTCATGAAGGGCAAAATTAGCTATATAGACCAAAATCATTTTTTGAACCAGGCTGTAAACATGTTTTTTTCTGCTGTAAAGTTGGGCATTTTAACATGGGGAGTCTATGGGATTGACTCCCTTTTGCAGCCAGCCTCTAGCGGCCAGTTGATGAATTACAGTTTAAGTCACTTCCTTGTTGGCTTCACAAGAGAGAGAGGGAGGTTGCCGCTTGGTGTAAACCCATTGAATTAAAATGTAATATTATTGAAAATACAATTTTGAATCATCCTTATGCTTTTTTGCAAACTCTCTGTGAGTCTGTGTAGCATCTATATTTGTTAAATCACATTTTAAGATGAAACTGTGAGTGAATGCAGTTTGCAGTGATAATTGAAATATAACAATAACTTATCTATAAATAACAGGGTTGCCACAATTTCTGACCAAAAACTCAACTTTTTTTTTTTGGTTTGGTGAGTGTGATGTTCTCAGAACTTTGGCTAATGCTCTGGAAAGGTTCTCTTAAAGTTATGAGCAGACGTCCTTCCAGAAACATTAATAGAATGTTTATTTGGTCTTAATTAAAAAAAATTTTTTTTTAGAATATTTCAGAATGATCAGAGAACATTCAAAAGTATCGTTGTTTGCAAGATGACCAAATGGAACTAAGAACATTCAGAAATAATGTTTTCATATATTAATGGGAACGTTGGAAAAGTGGTCTTAGAACATTTTTTTTTTTAGTTGGGTACTTATTAAAAATAATTCTAATTCTGAGTGATTTGGTAATGAATCATGCACACCTAATTGGAAATTGGTTTGTTATTGCAAGCAAGTTTTAAGGAATATTTAGCTGATGAAAGGTCAGAGTCAGAGAAGAGCATATAATTATGTAGAAAAATATGTATTTGACTTTTTTCCGTAACATGAATTAAACTAAACTAAATTAAATTAAAATAAAATAAAAACCCTGACATTTCCTGGTTTTTCATGACTTCGTGCTGTTCGTCGTTTGTACAGAAGGGGGCGATGCTGCACTGCTGAGAGTTCAGGCTTCTTGGCTCAAACAATGCTTCTTAACCTAAAGACTTTTGTTCTTCTGTCTTTTCTTATTGTGGATCTATAATGGCTGTTCTAACGTGAACCAATATTCTCAGAATTTCATATACAGTTTTTTAAAGGGAGTACCATGAATGGAAACGAGTTTGAAAACGTGCATATGAAAGGGAAACTGTGCTTAAGCTTTAAATTATAGGCTATATCTATGCAGAGTTAAATGATCTGATTCTTACTTAAAGTCTTCATGTGAGTAGTGCTCCCTAGCACTGAATACAGGAATGCTCAGCATTCACAACACTCCTCAGCTGTGGCCTGCTGTGGAAAGTTATGTTTACAAGATCCCAGCGGTTTTGTGCGCTGTGCACATTAATAGGCATGCAAGGGATCCTCTAGTCTAGGCAACAGAGCCGGTGTTCTGACAAATAATGCTACCTATCAGATTAAGCTACCAACACTGTATTTATCCTACTGTAAGGGTAGGTTTAGGGTTGGGGTAGGTGTACATGTTAATAAAACCTCACACTTTATTAATATGCTGGAAGCAAAATCTGATAGGTAGCACTTTTCGCTAACGAATTATGCTCTGTTTTAATGGGAGGTAGCCAAATCTGACAGGGTAGCACAAATCGTCAGAACACCGGAAATAAACAGCTTTCTGACACTGTTGTCAAAAACACCGACAGTTCTCAGTTGTTTTTACATGTTTAAGCTGTTTTGTCAGTCAACAACAGACTAAATATACAACATACAATTGTGTGAAATACTCAACTTTTTCAAATAAATAAACAAATCCTTAAAAATTAATCAAACCTTCCACAGCATTACAAAAATCCAGTGCTTGGTTAGGTTTGACACCTCCAGTGTGATGTCAGAGCCTGCGTTTATCACGCATGCGCACAAATGAAAACGCGCATGATGCTGATCGCTCGGTAATTCATAGGAGCGGACAGCGTCAAAAGCGAAGCCGAACACCGGTAGCTCAAAACCGACTGGAAGCGCATGTGAGACCAGGGAATCTGAAAAGATTTTCACTGTGTAACAGCAGCACCGCGTGGACGCCTTTACTGGGGACTTTTGCTTTTTATTTTAAATATACATGTTTACTCTTTCAGTATGAGGTTCCCTAACAGAAAACTACGCACGGCGGTGGATGGAGAAGACTCGGGCGTTTCTGCGCACTTCAAAAATCCTTTCGTGCACGAGTTGAGATTTACTCCTCTGCAGAAACTCAAGGTAAAGGAACTTTACCGCTGTGCAAAAACTAGGCTATTTAATTTTTCACTCTTTGCAGAATGCAAGAAAGAGCGAAAATTTTAGCAGGAGTTAGGCTATTGTTGCTATTTCAAACTGTATATTATCTGATTAGGATTCGTTAAGCACAGTGACATTTTGCAGAATATACAGAAAATCTTACCGACTGTCCCCAAATCTGCAAACTGGTTCAAATCTTTAAGCAGGTGTAGACGCTCTGCAGGTTGCATGTCATACGGTTTGATTTTAGTGTTAGTAGTACTAGTTGTTGTTTGTATGCATGCATGTTTGTTTGTATTGTGACATCTAGGTTTTGTTAGATTCAAAAGCATCGACTCATGTTTTATTGGGTGTGACGCGCAATTCGAAGTGAACTGAAAAGCATCTGGGTGGCCTTTGTTTAAAATACAGGTGTGTAGATATAAAACTCAGTTTGTAATTATTTCAAGGACTGTTCAAATTTTAAGTAGTGGAACAGCCTGTTGTTGTTATAATATGAAACACTGAGTTGAGGTCATAACTTGCAATGTATAGGCTATGACACACTGGCTATAGTAGGTTTGGGTCTGTTACAAGGTTAGAAATTGACAATGGATCAGGGCAAACCAGGGAGGCAGTTCCTGGGAACTAAAATGAAAAATAAAATAAATAAACAAACATCTATTATATTAAACAGTTCATGCAAAGCAGTCTAAGATGATTTGTGGTATTTCTTTTTTCTCTTTATTCAAGGACTGTTCAAATTTTAAGTAGTGGAACAGCCTGTTGTTGTTATAATATGAAACACTGAGTTGAGGTCATAACTTGCAATGTATAGGCTATGACACACTGGCTATAGTAGGTTTGGGTCTGTTACAAGGTTAGAAATTGACAATGGATCAGGGCAAACCAGGGAGGCAGTTCCTGGGAACTAAAATGAAAAATAAAAATTAAATAAATAAACAAACATCAATTATATTAAACATTTCATGCAAAGCAGTCTAAGATGATTTGTGGTATTTCTTTTTTCTCTTTATGTGACTTAACTAACCAAATATGTCCATAGGGCAAAACCTTATTTCTTTCTTTGGTCCTGCAAAACCTGGAAATGTCAGCCAATTATAAAAGTTTGATTTCCAATCTGGGAAAACTCATGGGAATGATTACACTCTTAAAAAGCAATTTCTTCATCTAGAAATTACGCATATTCAATCATTTTATTCTTAATATTTATCTAGTCATCACAAATGATCTAATTCTTGGAGAGTTTGTGGACATTTGAATTGCAGAAAAGCAGCTGTGTTAGTGCTTTTGTGTGTTTTTAATTGCGTAGTGTTTTGTTGTGGAGCTGGATATGCCAACACGTCAGGTAAATGCTAAAATTAATTATTCCTCTGTGCCTGGATTCATTCTGATATTATTTTCATACTTTATTTGATATTATCAAGGGCTTTGGTTTGGTGCTCTGCTGGGCTTGTAAAGGGAATAGGATTGTGTTTTGTTATAGCTGTATGGCTCGACTGAAGCATGTTTATGGGATGTGTATCCATCAAGTTCCCTGAGTGATCAGAGAAGGGGTTGGTGATGTTTTGTGTTTTTAGTAAGTCGTTTTAAAGTTTTTAGTAGTTTAAAGTAGACTGATCCATGCTGATCAATAATTTTCAAGGTTTATAGGGAACTTGAAATATATGTCACCACTTTCCTCTTGTAGAGACTTCACAGAAAACCTGAAATGCCACTCACAGGAGATATATGAGAAAACAGAATTTCGAAGTCCTGCTCTCCCCGTTTAACTGTCATCTCAATCCTCTTAGCCTTTCCTGTTGTTTTTCCAGTTGCTAACAGGCAGGAAATCCACCAGAGCTACTGATCTGATAATAGTTCCACTTATCCTCACATTTCAGCAGGTAGAGAGATCCTTCGAGTATGGTCACTTTTCATAAACCGGACAAGGTCAGATAATTGTTTACTAGGAAATAGTCCAGTGTCTATTCTTTTTTTGGCTCCATTAGCCTACTGCTATTTTCTAATGTAGCCTTCTTACACAACAGCAGTTTGAAAGATCCAAGGTAGGCTGTGATGATTCACCTGATTTCCATATGCATCAGATTCAAAGATAAATGGACCTTTGTGGTATTATGCAAGATCTTTTTAATACACTCAGGCCTGCGGGCTACATTCTGAACAAGAAGCACAACATTCTCCATTTATAGCATTTGAACCTACTTGCAATGTTGGAAATCTTAAGAAGTAGGTGATGCATTTTCTTTGCCAGCTCTTGGAAATAGAAATATTCCTTAAAGTTTTCTCACCCTCAGGCCATCCAAGAAGTAGATGTGTTTGTTTCTTCATGGGAACAGATTTGGAGAAAGGTAGCATTACATCACTTACTCACCATTAGATCCTCTGCAGTGAATGGGTGCCGTCACAGTAAAAAACATCACAGTAATCCACAAGTAATCCACACCACTCCAGTCCATCAATTAACAGCTTCCTAAGCGGAAAGCTGTTCGTTCGTAAGAAACAAATCCATCAAGGCTTTTTAATTTAAACTGTCGCTTCTGGGCAAAATACAAGTCCATAATCCATAATAACACTTCCACCAGTGAAAAAGTCCATCACCTGTCTTCTCAATATACAAAATCCAAACACATATTTGTTTAGAACCGTTTTGTACTGTTTTTCGCTTGTAAACGGTGCTTGGTCTGTGCATATTTTACTCCTGATTCAGACAAGATGATTTTTTTTTCTCTGGAAAAAGCAATACTATGGATACAGGACCAGAAGCCGGAAGCAACGGTTTGAAGTTAAAAACATCTTGATGGATTTGTTTCTTTTGCTTCTTGTTTCTTTTGCTTTTCACTTCACTAGACATTAATTGATGGACTGGAGTCGTGTGGATTTCTTGAAGGAGATTATCATGATATCATGATTGATTATCATGATATTGTGTTTTTATCAGCCTTTTTGACTCACACCCATTCATTGGCACCCATTCACTGCAGAGAATCCATCGGTAAACAAGTAATATCATGTCAAATTTATCTTCAATGGCCTGAGGAAGAGTAAATCTTAAGCGTAGGGCTGCACGATTAATCGAATGTGATTGTCATGCGTATCTTGTCAGTAAAGCCGGTTCTGTGATTAGTAGTAAATCTCCAGCACGTGCTTTCAGATGGAGCAGCATTTAGTACACAGAGCCATAGTTCACTGACAAGCTACGCAAAATCGCATTCATAATAGCAGACGATTTAATTGCGTGATTATGAAATCGAAGAAATCGTTCTGCGATTATGAAAGCTGTTTGCGTAGCTTGTCAGTGAACTACGGCTCTGTGCAGTAAATGCTGCTCCATCTGAAAGCACGTGCATATACCACATTTAATAACATGTTTTTACTCCAAACTCACTTCATAACATCAGTCGAGTGTTTGAAATAAATGCTTCTGTGAGATGATGTGGCTTCTTACACAGAATAAGGCACGCAACATATTTCATAGTATTCTAAGCAGTGATAAAGGCTATGTCGATTAGTACTACTGATCACAGAACCGTGCTTCACTGAAAGATATGCATGACAATTGCAGCTTCTGCCTAATCGCGATTTATCGCCTTTGCGATTTAATTTCGATTAATCGTGCAGCCCTACTTAAGCGTATCTTCATTTTTGGTGAACTATTCCTTTAAGACTTCCATTCTAGAGATCTCTTGGTACTGAACTGTCATCAGCCTTGCTCATAGTCAAGTGGCAAGCTGGCAAAATCAATGAAGACCAATGGAGAGATCATGAGTAGGCTTGGAAATTTCAGCCACACATTTGCATGAAAGCTTCATCACGGAAAACCGCTCTTGCTCACTCGGGTTTCTGTTGTTCTTCATGACACGTACTTCATGTACGTGTCACAACAAGAGTCCCTTTAGCGCTTTTTACTGTAACATATCTTTGAGAAACTATGGCCAAAGCAAGCAAAATTCCTCAAATTCTCTGTACTGTAATGCACTTCAGTCAATGAGCAGTAACATGAGCGCAGTCACGTCATGCTGTCTGGAGGCACTGTCAGTCTTGGTGTGTTCCCTGTAGTGAGCGTAGAGCTTATGTTGTTGGAGATCACGATGGATGGTGATCCGAAGGGAATGTGGAGGATCTTCTCAACTGTACAAGGCTGTGAAGTGCTCTCAGCGAGAATTAGCTGATGCTCATTTGACTTGTAAACATGCGTGATTGAGATGACATGGCAAACCGTGTATCTTATAGATGACCGAGGCTAATCCAACAGCTTCCTGCTGTCTTCTCTCTGCACATTTTTTGATTAGTTTATAGTATGATTGTTTCCAAAGCAGATGTGGGTTCTGGCTTAGTTAAATGATCATCGGGGAGTCATTGAGCTCTGTTTTGAAAGATCACATCCAGGCTTCTACAATGTTCAAGCCCTACTGATGCTTAAATCCTGTTGTAGACATACATTTTCATATTGTAATATTCATGTACTGTTTTATGTACTGTAGTCTGGCATGTTGGTTGACATGAATGTGGATAATCATGTTTGAGCATACGTTAAGTATTCTATACCTTGTGAAGTCTCAATTGGTCATTAAAAATTGGTTATTGAAATTGGTCACTAAAATGACAGTAAAGACATTTAAATTGTTACCAAAGATTTCTATTTCAAATAAATGCTGTCCTTTTTAACTTTTTGTTCATCAAAGAATCCTGAAAAAAAGTATAATGGTTTGGGGTGTTATTTTGAATTAATTTGTACTGTAAAGCACTTTGGTTCAACTGTTGTTTATAAATGTGAGGTTAAGTTGAGTTGAGCCCTGCTTCTTGGGAAAAAAGTCTGCTGATTAGCAAAAAAGGGATAATATTATTACCTAATTTGATGATGCTGATTTGATGATGCAAAATGAACAAATCTTTCCATTCCACGCACGCGCACACACACACACACACACACAGTATGTATCAGCTTTATCAAATTTATCAAAATAATTATTAAAATAACA